TCAATCGGGTAGTTATTGGAGAAACAAATGCAAGGCATGCTTGGAGAATTTATCCCATATAAACGGTATGTGAATGATACACTCATTATTGATAATAATAGTAAGTATATTGAAAACTTTATTACTCTATTTACTAATGTTCATGCAAAGATCTGAGTGACTTCCGAACTAGAATCGAATAACAAACTCGATTTCCTGGATATTACAATGACTAGGAGAGGTGAAGGTACGATTCAGCGATCTATTTTTCGTAAACAGACATGGACTGGACAATATCTTCATTTTACCAGTTTTGTTCCTATCCAGCATAAACGTTCCCTAGTGAAATGTTTGTTCTCAAGGGCCCGAAAAATATGCACGAGTGACACTGTGATGGATGAGTGTCGACATATACATTCAGTTTTATTAGCTAATGGTTATCCATAAAACTTCATCACTTTTCACAGTAAAGAAAAACCAGATGCCGGAAAGACCACCTCTGTACCAAATAAAGCTGTCCTTATTAACCTACAATTCAAGGCTGATCAAATTATTCAGTTGACAGCTCAAATACTTCAGTCAGTCATCAACTCTACGCCCCATCTCTTTCCCTCACATGAGGAATATTTTCGATCCCTTTAACTACAATTGAAGGACGAAATTCTGTGAACTCTACTTCAAACTGTATCTACAAGTTGACCTGCAGTTTGTGGTGACACAATTACGTAGTTAGAAGCAACAGAATATTCCAATATCGTGGTCGAAAAGAAAATGTTTGAAAATTACGGTTATCAAAACACACAGAAAATACCAATGCACCTATTAATCTGAATATAAATCTAGCATCATCATCAGCCATTGCAAAGTACTCATTAATGTCAAGTCACAAAATAGATATTGATGACTGCTTGACAGTTATTTCATCACATATCTCTAATTCAAGGTCAGTTATTGAAGGTGATGGAAGCACTTAATGGATTAATCACATACAATTATAAAATACAATATTTGTGGTCGTTACAATAATGGCCAGTTATGCGGCGGATACATTTTTAACGTAGAATAACAGATTAGTAGTTATGGGGTGTCAAAATAAATAGTCGTATTTCTGTGACAAACGTGCTAGGCTGAAATCAATTAGAAAATATTGTAAAACGGGAGACAATGGTGGTGATTAATCCTAATGGATTTGTAGATTATGGGGTAGGAAAGTTGACAAATCACTTCAAGGTTATCGAAGGTGTCAGGTGAGTGGCTAGTAGAAAGTGGTCTCTCTTAAACAGGAGATAGTAAGACTGCAATGAGAGGTTCATAATGAGATAACGAATATGTTAAATGAAACAGGTGGGGGTATATTGAGAAAACAGATAATATCACTAATAATAAGTCCGTATAAATGAAAAATTCGATAGTATTGAGGGAATGTTTAAATAAAGGGCATAAATTATGACGAATAATAATAATAGTAATAATAATAATTGTAATACTAATATTTTTAATAATAAGCATAGGAAAAAAAACCAAGAGGGTTAAGGGGAAGGAGCACTCTTGGCGAGAAGAAGAATCATCAGTCCAAGTTTGGCCACGGTAGGAACAGCGTCTGGACGTGTTCTTTTTGGATAAAAAGTTCCGCTTTAGTCGATCTTATTGCAACAACTTCAGCTATGTGTAGGAGACGTAAGCGAACTGTACGTGATGACGACTTCGGAATTCGGTATATAACCTTGGAAGCTGTGTTGACGTCGATGCGATATCCAGTATCGACCAAGTGTGACAGGATCGAGCTTTTTATGCACTTAATTTCCCCCACCCCCATGCTGAACCAAGCTGGTAAGTGTTCTCGAACCCGTAGACTCTACAAATCTATTTGGATTAATCACCACCATTGTCTCCCGTTTTACAATATTTTCTAATTGATTTCAGCCTAGCACGTTTGTCACAGAAATACGACTATTTATTTTGACACCCCATAACTACTAATCTGTTATTCTACGTTAAAAATGTATCCGCCGCATAACTGGCCATTATTGTAACGATCACAAATATTATATTTTATAATTGTAAGAACCTTAAGAGAAATTATTATAAAGAATATTTTTCGTTCAGATTGACTTTTAATTCATAATATGGGAATATTTCACACTATCTAATCACAGAAATCCTAAACTATGTGTACACAGAAAAACAACAGGCTTCAACCTTCGCCTACCAAGATTGACTACTTGAGCTATTTAAATATGATTGGTCATTAATTAGTATGTACTTTTGTTTTACATAACCGAGTAATCGTAGTGCCTTGTATTATTATTATTATTATTGTGAACCATGTTAGTTGTAAAGCGGTTGTAAGAAAACAATTAACTGAAGTTATCATCTCGCGAAATTTGTCTTCTAAATACCTTATTCAAATTTATCAAAGCGACTAATTATTTTTAGAATTAAAGAAGTAAATTCAGTGAGCGAGACAGACGATTCCTCAGTATTTCTTTTTATGAGTCGCTATTGAATTGTAGATTTAAGCAGAATAGTCATTTAGCAGCTGTTTTAGGGGTTTAGGCTCCATACATTTTGCAATGAAACGTTCCATGTAGACATTTTTTTAAGAAGGATTCTTTTCACTGTTCAGTCTTCTTTCCATAGTGTAAGTGTTGCAAATGCTGAGGATTCTGTGTCTGAGTCAACGGGCCAGGTTTCCATTTTTATGTACAGAACACCCAACTATAAAAGTTAGTGAGTTGTCCGTTCTATGTCGGCTGTCTGTAAATGGGTCTTTTTTAGTATCCCATCTTGTTAATTGAATGTACAGTAAAGATGTTTTCTTGTAGGACTACTTCTTTAATTTGAAATGGATTGCAGTGCGGCAGCTGTTGAAAAAGTCCAGGTTGCCCTCTGAATTCTTCGCATTACTGGAGAAGATAATAATAGCTTTACCATGAACAGTTTTATTATAATGTGCTGAGTTTTCAGCAAAGTTTATTCTGTGATCTTCTCTTTTCGTTCAAGATGTTCAAACAAAAATTCAAGTGAAACAGCTGTCCAGTACTCCCAGGTTTTCCAATGGTTCTCTAACTAATGTCAGCTCATGATGAAATCCTGAAAATACTAATTAACAGTAGACCATGTGATACAGTTTCGTCTGACCTAAAGCGCAAAGCAACCCAATATGATAACTGTTCACTGTCTTTTTCGAGAAATGCCTGACATTTGGTTGAATGCCAAATATAAGACTTTTAGGAGTGCATTCTGAGAACTAAAAGCACCATTCGGGAACAGCTACCCCGTTGAATTCGATACGCCATGCCCAATACTATGCTTTTAGTCAATTTTGACAGGAACTCACGAATCTGCAGGCTGCAGGGACTTTAAATACTCACGAGAATAAATACCACTGTTAGAGATCGTGTTTTCTTAGATTAAAACCAAAAGAACAAGCGAATTTAGATGCAACACAATGATGGAGTTTTGCAGTAGACAAAATTTTAAACAAGTAGCCATTACTACAAAGAGATTGTCGTGCATCTATCTTTTTCACAACCGAAAGCTGTCAATGATTTTCCAGTTCTGAAGTGAAAAGATCTGCAGTTAATGGACTTGGTGGTAAGCCCAAAGATGTGCTACCTTTTTGTCAGTATATTTCATTGATAAAAGAGAACCGGGCATTTAGAGTGAACTGCAGCAGGAGGTGATGTCTTGGTCCACACCTGATTAGCACTTTTCGTATTACGTAACTTGTTATCTGAAATTTACAATTCTAATGACAGGTCAATGGAAATGTTCCTCTTGCTGATAAGATAGTTTGCTTTATATATATACATACATGCGTCAGTGGGACAGCGGCAGAATGCTCCCCAGCCATGCAGGTGGTCCGGGATTTACTCCACTGCCAACTTATTTCCTTACCTCGCTATGCCAATAATAGAACTGCCAAAGAGGGAAGGTAAGGAATGAGGATAGCAACCGCATCCCGTGAAATTAAACACCGAAACTTCAAGCCTGTAGCTCGAAGCCCTATGTTCCGCTGGGAACGTAACGGAATAAAAAGAAAGAAAATATACATACATACATGCAGTTGCAAAGCTGGAAGATGCTATCGCTGAAAAGAATGACATTTCGCCGAACAAGTTTTATTCTAGGGTCATTTAACGGTAACAAGAACATTATATGCTCAAGTTCTTTCAGCACGATGATCTCATAACAAAAATTGAGTTCTTGAAATTCTGCGAATCCTAAAGACGCAACCTAATACTGACCACTGATACATCCGTGATAGTTATCAGGCAACCCAAGTATCATAAATGTAAAATCGCTGACTTTAGCAGTGTCGGAGTGACACAGTGTTTTACAAATGTAAGCTTCGAATAATTGCCTAGCGAAGCAGTTAAACACTGAAGAAATGGTGTTTACTGGACAATGTCTTCACGTATCCATATTACGATGCTTTTTTTATTCCTTTATGTTTCTCGTGGGACATAGGTCTTCAAGCTAAAGGCTTGAAGTTTCTGTAGCAGTGGTGATTTTATTCACAGGGTGGGGTTGCTAGCTTCATGCCTAAATTTCCCTGTTCACAAGTCTTGTAACTGGCTTAGGGAGGTGTGGGAGTGCGTCTGTGGCCGGGGATCGAACCCCGACCACGTCCATGAAGCGCGAGCACTCTACCACTGTGCCACCGACACTCTCCATAATATGTAAATTACTTAAATTTTGCTGTGAAATTCCTTATTAGTCTGTTTATCGGATATGTCATACTGTGACGCTGATTTATTTGACGGATGATGTTTTGAACCAAAATTGTAATTATAATTTATATGATTATGAAAAAATGGAGAGGTCTATTCGAAACCTCATTAAGTAAATAATACTGCTTCAATAAACTGATATGCGGTTACATAATACAACAGTGCCCTAGCTTTACGCATATATCAATATCTTATCAAAATGTCCAAAATTAGCATAAGACTAAGGTATAATATTGCCAGCATAACTATCACAGGGAAAATTTAGCCGTACAGAAATGAACTTACACGTTTCCATTAAAGATTATGACTCGTGCATCTGCATGGTATATACTCTCTAGAATATTAAGTAATGGTTCTAAACATGGTCGAATTTCGCGTAGCAGTGCATCTATGCATTCAAAGAACTCAACGGACGTTAATCCCTCGAACGGAAACTGATAGTTTATTTCAAATCTGTAAGAGGAATGAAAATAGAATGCAAAGTAAACGGTGTCAGGAAATTATGCATATTCAGGTCAATGGTCAAAGCCAAACAGTTCTCTGGATTTTCAAAACCTTTAAAATGGCAAAGCATGATTGGCGTATATTTTTTTCGATCAAGAAAGGAAGACGAAATTCGCGGTAAAAAATGATATTGTCATTCTATTTCACAGGTTGTCATAAGCTGCCATTGACTACCTGAAATTACAATAATTATTTAGTTGATAATAACATACTTTAATGTTTGAGTGGTAGTAGAGAAGAGATACGCATCATGGGCTACCTTGAACAGACACAAATGAGTTCTGCTATCAATGGAACAATCTACTACCGCCAATATGTTGATGACACATTTGTTGTTTGCAACGACATAGATCACGCATCGGAATTATATGATCGCCTAAATGAGACCCATCCAAACATCAAATTCACCATGGAATATGAACATAATAATGAGTTCAATTTCCTGGATTTAAATGTAAAAGGAACAAACGAAGGCATGATGGAAAAGTCCATCTATAGAAAAGAAACCTGGACTGGACAATATCTTCAATATAACATCTTTTGTCCCATAAGCGATAAACGTGGATTAGTGAGGACTTTGTACGACAGAGCCAGGAAGCTATGTTCACCAAACAAGGTTGAAGAAGAATTAGACTTCGTCGAGAAATGCCTAAGGGAAAATGGATACCCTAAGGGATTTATACAGAAGTATAGCAGAAAAAAAGATGAGAAAGAAAAACACCCAACTGTAGGGAAGAAAAATGTGTTTATTTGTCTCCCATTCAAAGGAGATGCAGTATCAGAAAAGATTGATAAACGACTGAAAGGTGCGATAAAAGGAAGCTTCTCGACAGCAAAACTCATAACCGTATAAGCCACTCAAAACTGGATAAATACCCTGCTGATGTCACCTCCAAATGCGTTTATGAATTCATGTGAGCTTGAGGAAGCAAGTACATTGGAAGGGCAGAAAGAAGGGCTTCTATCCGGTGGTTTCCTGAACTTATTCCAAGAAACCTGTGTCTGAAAGGAAGCAAATATTCTCAGAGTGCAATTACCAGACACAATGTTGATACCAGACATCTCCTAGAGATTTCTAAGTCCTTCAAAATATTGAATAGACAAAGGACAAAAAAATTTATTACGATTTGCCAAAGCGCTCTCAATCAAATGATTTAAACCAGACTTACGCATACGGAAAGAGAGTGTAATTAACCTTTCACTCCCTTGGTAACTGAATTTTGATTAGATTAATTAGTCATCTAACTCAGTGATCTCAACTCACTGAAAAAATCTTAATCTCATAAACTGTAACCACTTTTGTTTTTTGTAGTTGCTGTGTAAACCAACAAGCTAACACTGTTCTGTTAATCAATTTTTTCTGTTTTTTGTCTTATCCCTCCCCACCCCCTATTTTCAACTTTAAATTGATGATGAAAACTTTAACTAAAAATTGTAATGCTTTCATTTTGAATGCGTCAATTTTATAGTATCTCTTCTCTGCCATCATTCAAACATTAAAGTATGTTATTATCATTTATATAACCATTGTAATTACAGGTAGTCAATGGCAGATGATGAGAACCTGTGAAATAGAATGACGATATCATTTCATACTGCAAATTTCGTCTTCATTTCTTAATCGAAGTTTATCAAGGGAACCAAATGTACGAATTATATATTTTTTTTATTCCTATACGTTCCCAGTGGAACATGGGGCTCAGGCTCCAGCTTTGAAGTTTCGGTAGCAAATGTGTTCATTTTTACGGGGTGGAGTTGCTAGCCTCATTCCCAACCTTCTCCCCTTACCAGTGTTGTTACTGGTTTAGCCAGGTGGAGGATTGCTTCAGTGGCCAGAGATCGAACCCTGGACCACAAGCGTCATTTGCAAGCGTTCTGTCGCTGTGTCATCGACGCACACTCACGTGAATGCATACGTAGTATAAGCGAGTATCTTGAAGCTTGAAAAACTATTTGCTCACGGGCACCTGTGCTCAGTGCATTTTCATGTTTATCAAATATGACTGTGAATTGATTTAAGCATGTTTGCAATTCATGTTCTATTGATCATAAATAATCTGTCAGGTTTTTCAAGAAATAACGAAAATGCCTTTAAATAAACCGTGAACAGTGAAAGTGAATAAGGCGGAAGGGTAAGTTAAGTAAGGCATAACTTATGAAAAATTTAGTTATATCACTGTTCAGGTTTCCTTAATTTAACCAACTCTGAATGACTAACGATCGGTTTAAGACAGAAACTCGTATTTCTTGCGTCTATAACTAATCTGTGATATGAAAAAGAAGTATAGATTGGGAGAATTGTAGTGAGGGATGAACACGCAAGAGCTGCTCTCAGTTATACCACAGTAGATGGTATCAAGTATACGTTAGTACTGACACTGTCCGTATATAAAACTACAATACGTGATTGTCTACTAATGATCGAAAAAAATTCCATATTAGTTTGATTGTTAGATGTATCACACAGTGAAACAGTATTATTCACTGGATGACAAAGTTTCGAACAAAATTTATTGTTTATAATCATATCACTTATCACACGACTACGAAACTTGAGTTTTATAGTTTTCTTCGTTCTCTCCTATTTGTCGTCGTTGGGGTAGTAGAATTTTCCAGATATCTGCGTGGACAGGTGTTGAGTCATTCTTATTGCAAGTATTCTCCCTCAGCTGATTCGATAAACAAAGCTTCTGTTATCAATCTCTGCCTCCCCACACCCTGTGACATGAGATTTTGAAACTGTCACCTTATCCCATCCATCTTATATTATACGGTTGTGTATAACTGCATCTCATCTTATTTGGGTCAACTAATCCTCCATGCAATCAAACAAAATCCCTACAAAACCAACACTTGAAAATTAATCTTGATTCTGTTCGGCTAATCTGACTGACTGCTACTGTTCTACTAGTTTGACCTATGTATTTGACCTGACAATCATTTTAGCACAGTACTAGATAAACTAAATTGTTTTGTTTTAAAGGCTCCACAGGATTGATCCTTTAACCGACAAAGCTTGTTTCTAATTGAGTTTTTTGTTGGTTTGAATGCCAGCCACTTTTATTTCCGCCTTGTTAATTATTCTGCATAAGGTTTCCGAGGTTTCTTCTTTGTATGAGATAACTACTGATGATTTAGATTCCTTATCTTTGGTGATGTCATTATCTCGCACATGTTTGACGTGCATGTTGTAATTAATATTACTATTATTATTATGATTATTATCACTATCGCTATTATCGTTATTTATTTTATTTTTACATTTCCCCACATATTTCCTGACTAATTTATCCGGATAATTATTAAGTTTCAAGGCTTCTTTTATGTGTATCACTTCCGGTCCTAGATTTTCCTTAGTACTACTTAGTTTTTGTGCTCTGTCGCTTAAACATTTCACCAATCCTATTATTACTGACACAGGACAGGATGATCGGAAGCTCAAATATCTACTTGAATGTGTGGGTTTCCTGTAAACACACTAGTGTGTGCTCTAAATACAGTGAATGCGTCATCTACATACCTCCATCATACTCTTAGGCTGAGGGTGAACGTTTCAATCGGTATGCTTTCCCAGCTATCCATGAATATATCTGCTACAACCGGGGATATTGTTGATCTCACGGAAACTCCCTCAGTTTGTTTGTATATTTTCTCTTGGAATTTAAATACTGTGGAAGTCAGGCATAGATGCACTCACAGCATTATGTCCTCAAGTGGCACTTTTGTCCTAAATTCGAGTTGTTGGTCAGAAATAAATAAATAAAACTGTAATGGTGTCTCTTTTGACTACGGCATCACCGAACCGAATTTGCACAGCATATAATTTCAGTAGGCGCTGAAGTGGATTTGGCTGAAGATAGTGTGTTATAGGCCTGAACAGGAGATCACCACTTCACTCTGTTCTCTGTTCTTTCTTTTTAAATGGCTTCACAACTTACCACGAGACGTCATTCATATCACCCCCCATGTACACCGAAGTCGTTATTTCCTATAAGAGTTCCACTCTAGTGATAGCCTAACGCTTGATTTCACCCAACAGATTCCTCAGTATGTGTCCGATCCATCCATCTCTAGTTTCTTCAGAATAGTTGTTGAGCAAAAAGGTTGTTGACTGCTTAGTTCGAAGAGTTCCTATTCGCTAAGCTTTTCTGGCTGTTCATATGGTCTTGAGAATGGAGCCAGCGAAGTCAGCTGCTGATTAAAGCCTACTGTATACGCAGCTGCAGACTTCATTGGTTGGATAAGGTCAAAACTTGGATTTCGACACATAACCTCAAATACTCCCCTTATATTACATGTGGTTCAAGTGACAACTTATGTAAAGCGTTCAAATGACATTTACACAGAAGCTGTCCCATTACCATCTTTAACTTTCTTTTGACCCTAAACTGGTTTAACAGCCAAAAAGGTGAACGTGAACCTCAAGTTTCGAAGTCGTATGATTATAATTGATATGATTATGAACCAAAATAAATTTTGTGCGGAAAGCCATTCACTAAATAATACTGTTTCAATACTGTGGGGTATATCTAATAAACAAACAAATACGAAGTTTTTACGAGTTGATCATGGATTGATATCACTTAGAGAATCCTTGAAAACCGGGGAGTACTGAACAGCTTTTTCCTCCGTCCTAGTTTGGGAATCATCGGCAGTACGCATCCACCACACGGGCTCCAACCCAGGACCTTCCGGTTACAAGGCAAGCTCGTATACTATTCAGCCACTGGGACCCGATTCGATGGCCAGTGCATGAATTCTAATTTCCATCAATTCATGATTTAGCCCGACCCCAACAAATGTCATCACAGGGACATCCATCCTCATATTGGACATCTGGAAGGACCTCACTGGTCACGACTTCTCACTAGAACTCCAAGAAACTCCATCCTATAGCAAGTGACTAGCGAGCATCAGAATAATTTTCTATAGTTTGGTTTGTAAGGGTTAGTTATAAAATAACTTACTACCAGAGTGCCCACGTTTTGCACATTTATTGATATTTAACCATTTTTAGCGGTAAAAACAAACAAGTAATCAACGTGAACGTTGTTTTTAAACTGCATACAGTAATCACTACTGAAATGGGAAGGTAATATATTATAAAGATGAGAAACAACGCAGACATGAAACTGTTTTCCTCGAAAAACACTCACTCGAAATAGTTTGGATGATCTTGTGCACTTCTTTCTATCTGTAATGCTCTTATTTCTTCAACTAAAACATCTGATCCAGGCACCAGTGTATCGTATACCATGACAACAAGATTCCATTTATACGCCTGCATGAAATCGACCAATCCTCGTGCTACATGCCAAGTCAGTGGCTCTAAGCGAATAGCCAACTGTGAATCATCCAGCTAGTTGAAACGAAATCGGATTTATTAGAGGACAGGTAAAAAACCACACAATGAATCTTTTTGCAGGATCCCACGAAAACATGCACGGAAAAATGTTTAATGGGATGGAATAATTTCAAAAAATATTTATTTTTCATTTTTGATCGCAGCTTGATTCCACACTCTATTTTTGGTACAAGTATGGAATTTCCAGCATGGATATCGGTAGCCCAAATTTCGCAGGCCGACCATAGATATCAGGTGTGCGCCGGTGTGTGCTCGAACCCTGGACCATGTGCGTGGTCGGCTAGAGTCCTCACCACTATGCCACCGACGCCGCGAACAGTTTCGTGTGGATATTGAACAAGCAGTCGTTCACAAAAGTATGTAATTGTGAAATATCAATGTAGAAATGTACACTCCCTATTATTATTATCATTAATCATTTAATTCCTAGAGGAACATAGGGCTTCAATCGTGCGTCTCTAATACGTTTGATTTTCTGCCAACTTTTTCACCCCTCTCCAAGTCTGTCCATATGCTTTCATCTCTTCTTCACATGACGTCATTCAAGTCACCCTTGCACTAACGACCAACTCGCCGCTTTCCTTTCGGGTTCCAATCGAGCAATGGCTTGTCTAGTGATGTCAGTTGATGGTTTCCTTCCTATTTTTCCTTAAACAGCAGTTATTCAAGGAAAGAAATTATTACTTGTTGCTTACACCTTTACAGCTAAATTTGGAAATTAGCACTTTGGTACGCTTTATGGGAATCAGAATATGCTATACGGTCGGCTGTTTCAATCTAGACTAATACACCACCATTGAGAGTAGCTGGTCCTGTCTTGTTTTCCTTTATTTTAAGAATTTGAATCATTTTGGACAATACCTTATATAAGAATAAAACTTGTGCATTGTGGTAGAGTATAATTCCATTACGGGTGAAATTTGTTTTGATCACAGGCCCTACTAGAAATCGTTCAAACTCTAGACTGACTAATTCATATGAGATGAAAAATAAACTAAATAATATTCAACTAGAGAATGATGAAGCAATAGTTAGTTTTGATATAACTAGTCTTTATACTAATGAACCAATCAATATGCCCGCCTTAGAAGCGGTTGAAAGGGAGCTAACTGCAGATGTTGAACTGACTTATAGGACGAAGCTACCCACTGAAGAAATCATTTTAGGAATTCAGTTATGCCTCACGTTTAATATCATTAAATTCCGGGGCAAAATATATACAGAAACAGACAGTGGGATCACTAATATCTCCTATAACAGCAGATATATTCATGGACAGCTGGGAAAATATCGCTCTTAATAGAACACTTAATCCTACTCCAAAAATATGGTGGAGATATAAGGGTGACACTTTCACATACAGTGTTAAAAACAGAGCATATCTCCCTCTAGCTTCTTGACACATAACTCACTAGTGGAGGGAATAAAATTCATATTTGAATTGGAAAATGAACAAGGAGAATTAGCTACTTTAGACTGCAAAATAAAACGAATAGAAGTTAGACTGCACACTAGCGTTTATAAAAGTCAACGCATTCTAATAGACATTTAGACTTTATTTCATCTCATCCGTTTTCTGTGAAGACAGGCTTATTAGTTGAGTGTCTAAAACCCAAGCAATAGCACTAAGTAGTACAAGAAAAGACCTAAATGACGAAATGAAACAGAGAGAATAAGCTTTGGTATCAGATAACTAACTATCCTATAAAATTCATTAAGAAGATCAGTAAAGACCAAAAGCAAAATAAAAATAATTGTGAAACTAGTAATGATGACATAAATAAGAGAAAATATAAGTCATCCACTGTTATACCATATGAGGAGGGGACATCTGAGAACATGCGTAGGATTCTTAATAACGCGAGAATAATGGTGGCGTTCAAACTTACGAACTCACTCAGAGACAAGCTCTATAGGTTAAAGAAAACTGTTGGTTGACCAAATTAAACAAAATAATGTAATTTACAAAATACCTTGCAATTACTGTGAGTTAAGTCAACTACATAGGTCAGTCAAACTAGTAGGTCAGGCAGGGCTAGTCAGATTATCAGAACATAAGAATTTAGCTAAGGCTAGAATGGCTGACCCCGAGGAGATAAATAATTAAGAAAACAGCTCAGCACTACATTGCACTGCATGGATTAACACACAGCCACACAATCGGGTGGGTGGGAGAGGGTTAAAATTCTAAAAAGTAATCTAGGTAGATGGAGAGAGAGAGGTTAATTACTAAATCTTCGTTCATCCAGTCTACACCCAACACATGCAATAGGAATGACTCAATGCAAATACCAGAAATATGGAAAATGCCACTACCAATCAAATCAAGCGATGAAAAATAGTGGGATTACATAAACGAAGTTAGAAAGTTGTGTGAGTAGTGCCTTGATGTGAGATGATTATGAGCAGTAATAAAATGTGCTCGAAACGGGGTCATCAGTAAATACTACTTTATAACACTGTGAGACTTTATCAAAACGAATGTTACCCAAAATTGATGATACTTGGACAGAAAATACATACTTTGTGGATATATTGTGCGAAAAGAAAAAACGTAGTTCAGCGTAGAGCCTTGTCTCCGGTGAATTCATTTTTTCCCAATAATCTGTACAGTCCCATTTACACACAGTTCTTCTACCATAATAAAGGATAGTAACAAAAGTGATGAGTTGTCTCCAACATAGTTGTTAATGTTAGTCAGTGCATAAAAGGAGTTGAATAAGTGTGTTAGAAATACGTATTAAGATGAATAATTCAATGACTGAGTTGTGATCAGGATGCACATCGGAACGAAGGAAAATATGGCGTAATGGAACAGTTGTGAATAACTACAAGAGTCATAAGCATTTAATTCAATTTTAGATTTTCCCGTCGATTGATTGGACCGAAGTGCTCGATATCGTTCGTAGCCCATATAGTCTAGTGGATAACATTTTAACGTTTGCAATTATGGGCACTGGGTTCGAGCCTCGTTGAAAAACATCATCACACATTGAAGAATGCAGACACATCCAGGTGACGAGTCCCAAATAGGACGAAATGCGCATCCTGAATTCCACTGCTGCTAGTTACCACTGACCAATTAAATTAAAATCATAAGGAGTTAGAAAAGCAAATAAACAAAAACCAGGTGAATGGAAGTCAACAGGGTTGTTACGATGATGCTGGAAATGGTTGCATAGTTTTCCACACTACGCATAACTCAGGCTTATCATACTGAATGGCTAAGGCTTCAGCAATGTAAAGAAGACGAAAGCGTATTGCTTTTTGGCAGGTTGTTCTTCAAACTATGAGATTACTTTTCTTCTATGCTCACTGAAGCTGGTGTCCCTCAAGGTGCTGTACTCTCCCCACTCCTCTTTTCTTTCTTTCTACATGACTTACCATCTTCAAATAACATTAATTTTGTCAAATATGCTGACGACCTGACTGTATCTTTGCCTGTCAAGTGTCAAACTAAATGGTTTTTTATCAGAAATTAGCCAGTGGTTCAAGGAAAACGGTCAAACCCTAAGACCCTCTAAATGTCAAAAAGTCAATTTCACCTATGGGGATAAATCTGAACTAAACAAACTGGTTAACACTCATGAGGTGTGCAACATACATGGCAATGAAATAGAGACCAAGTCGGAAATTAAATATCTTGGCGTCATTCTATCTGCTGATCTTTCCTGGTCGTCTCATGTCTTGATGATTTCTAAGAAAATATTCCGCCTTACCTCCTACATCAAGAAGTTAAGACATTCTGGAATAACCCAACTCAACCCTTACTCCGACAAACGAAGCATTAGGCGTGAAACTGATGACTTATTAAATAGTCAGTAGAACAACTGGATCTCGTCTTTCCAGTTCATTTCATTTAAAGGTACAACGTTTTCTTTCTTTCTTTTGCTTTCCTCTTTTTTTCTGTTATGTGCTGTTTTGTTTCTTTCTTGCTTACAAACTACTTCAAACATTCTTCTTCGTTCGTTCACTCTCTGTATATCTCGACCTTTTTGTTACCGCTAACGCCAGTAAATATGCTACCATCTACTTTACTAACACCCTGAAACACTGTTAAATTCCGGCTTTGCTACCAGCATGCTAATAGGTTGTTGTCAAAATTAACTGAGATTACCCTTAATCTTTGTAGAATTTTATTTATTTATTGTTAATGTGCCAACTGGATGCAATACTGTGGTGAAATGCTGAGAATTCCATTCTGCATCACAAGTACTGTTTTGGAATAAAGCAAATTATTATTATTATTATAGTTGAGATAGAATGGTTAGTGTTGATAGTGTGTTTGATTATCTCACTCCTTATAGAGCCATTGTGCATACAAAAAGAAAACTATTCAACCTTTACCACCATCATCGTAACAACCTTGTTGTTTTCCACTCACCTGATTTTTTTTTATTTGCTTTTTTAACTCCGTATAACGCTTGTATTTCGTTAGAAGTCTTACGTAATTCCACATATTTCTTCATTTTTATGTGCATCTTCATCCTCTGCATCTAAATACTTAATTCTAATACACTTATTCAACTCCTTTTACGCATTGACTAACAATAATTACCATGTTGGTGACAAGTCATCACTTTTGTTACTACTCTGTTTCATGAGTAAACTGTGTATTAATGTGACTGTGACAGCTGAAGAGAAAGATGAATTCTCCGAGGATAAGCCTGTTTACTGAACCACGTGTTTTCTTTTCATTGGTACCTGAAAGGGTATTTATTATTCATGGATATGTTGTGTTTTTTTTTAAATGGGAATATCTATTTCACTGACAATTTCTGTCAAAAAATTACAGATATGATATAGACAAGAGCAACATCTCCAGAATATTTATCTGAAAGTAAGTTATTGAGACATGTAAGGTTTGAAACGATTGTCAGTTGTGAAGAAAATCAAAGACAAATTCAGTGAAGGAAATGCTTCTTTATCGATGAAATCATCTTCAAAGGCTGTACAGTCGTATTTATACTTACGACAAATATACAATGGTCTAT